CATATTATAACATCGACTGAGATAAAGAATAAAATAAAATATTAAAATCACGATATATCTCGCTACATTACATGAATACGCTTCTAGTATATATATATATATATATATTGTCCTTTATATTGATCTGAACCTATAAATGAATAAAAAAAGGTCAAGATTCTTTTAAATGATTCAAAGTCAAAGAAATCCCTCTAAAACTGGGTATCTTCTTTAAAAATTTGGTTCAAGAGGTTGGAACCCTAACGTATCATTGCTTATATTTGGAGTTGTGATTCATTATTCATATAAATCAATTTCATATATATCGTCTTTCTTCCACTTTGTATTGGAAATGATTCCTTAATAGAATTTTTTTTACAGGTTTTCATGTTCTTTTTCTTCTTTTCTCTATTGTACCATACAATATAGCATAGCTGTTGAAGTACAAAACTCTTCTAAATTACCAAAATTTATATTATAGTATAGCTGGTGTAGATGATCTAACAAAGTATCTGTTGGAGAAGCTCTAAAGCTCATGCAGTCAAAATCCATCATCGATAAGAGTCAATTTTAATATTATTAATGTAACACTCCTAAAATATGAGTAACTTAAACAAAAATCGACGTAGAAATTAGAGCCTACATAATATAAAATAACCCAAAAAAGAGAAAATAATATAGTGTTTATAAGAGGATAAATAACAACCTATTAATCTAAAACACGCTAAGTTTAGATTAAAGACGAGTGTCATTGTCATCTTCACAATAATCATGTCAAAGAATAATGCCGACTTGGCCAAAAGGTAATGATCCCAAAAGTGCCTCTATTGGCATCTAAACACTTTGCTCAAGATTTCGGAGTCCCACGGCTAAGAGATCCTGATATAAATGTCATTTAAGAAAAAGTGTTAGGTTTAACGCCTACTGGAACATAAAACTAAGGGGCAGTTTACTAAACGCTTACTCGGGTAAGCGTTTACCAAGTAACATTACCTCATCGAATGAATATAGTAAAGACCAAGAATCTTACCCGGTAAGAACAAGACAAGGACCAAGAGTCTTAACCAGTAAGTAAGGGGACGACTCTTACCACAGTAAGCGCTTACCGGATAAATTATTGTATACTATGTCGTTTTGGTGGACTAAAATCTTATCTGGTAAGTACATAATAGTGTTAAATTTTACCCGTAAGCACTTACCGGGTAAGTGTTTGATAAACGACCCCTAAGTCGCATTCCAGTGTTATAAAGCTTCTATATGGAACATTGGTCATCGAGTTCAACCATTCACTAGAATGCGACTTAGTTTTATGTTCCATCACTGAATATACATAGGGGTGGGTTCAATGAAAACCGAGTTTCGGTTGTGAACCGGGAGACAAAGGAGAGGGCGACATGTGTCCCCTGCGTCCACGGGTAATTCGTACTTACCCATCCATCTAATCTAAAAAAATCTAGTTTCATAAATATGTCGACTATTTCATAATATAAAGCGTGATTATGGTTAACAACTCAAATCATCTTACATAAATATTCAAATCATAATAAATGAACATTCATCGTTTTCATAAATATTGGTTTACAAGTTTGTAATATTAAGAAGGTTTATCTTTAAATTGTCATATGTCTATTATATTAAATAATTGCATATAATTATGTAATAAATATTATAAATACGAAAAAAAAAGGTCAATAAAGAAACTGTAAAATAATAAGTATTATTGTATTAAACATAAATATTTAAAAATTAAAATTATTAAAATAAATTCAATTGTACAATATACATGTTCATTGAACATAGTTTATAGTGGATCCCATGTTCTAATTTTACAAATATATCCTCACTCTCCAATAATTCTCATATTTAATCATAAATATAATATATGTATTTATACTTTTACAAATATACCCCTCTTACTCTCCAATAATTCTCATATTTAATCATACCAATACCATCATGATAATATATGTTATTGATACCATATGTTATTTTGTTATTACTAATATTATTAAAGGCATAAGTGATATATAATAAAAATAAAAAAGAAGATACATTAAAGAAAATGAAAGCTAAGCAAACAAAATGGACCAATCTGATTGTTTAAGATTGGTCCTTGGTTTTTCTTTCAAAGACAGGTTCGATCAAAACGAGATATAGAGGATCGATTCCAACAGGTTGAAGGTTGGGATCGGGACTGGTTTGAAGACCGAACAGTTAACCAGTATCCCATCTTCACCTCCGACGTGTATTATTAAAAGATTCAAGAACCCTAATAGATAGCGTAGCGATAATAATGGGTGCACGGGTAATTCATTTTCATATGATATTGGCCAGCTAATAATTAGCCGGGCAAAACACAACTAAAAGACCGTTTACCAAACGTTTATCAGGTAAACACTTCTCAACAATAACCATCACTTTCACTTACTTTATCCAGTAACATTCTTGACAATCAAATTGAATTATCAGTAAACGTTTACCGAGTAAGCATTGTTTCTTTCACTTACTGAATTAGATTCTCGATCCTTCTTATGTCTTTTACCGGATAAGATTATCGATCTGTATCATATTTACTCGGTAAAATAAATAACACCTAATAATCACCATATAACAATACCCAAACAAACCAACGAACAAACCACTGGTTTAACGAATAATGGCATCACCAACTCAACAGCAAATCTTACATCATCACTGATAAAAACTACGACACCAAATTTGGTATCATAGTATGTAGTCACAAAAAATTTGGCATTACGTCAAATTTGTAAAAAAAACTGGGTGATATTAGAATTATTAAATAAACTCGGAGTATTCTATTCGACGTTGGAGAAAATTTATCGCCTGCACCAATTTTGTACAAAAAATGGTGCAAACAAGATCGTCTAACAATACAGATTTCGTAACCGAAACCCTACAGGCGACAACGGAATGATCGCTTTCACTGGACCCCAACGATAACTAATTCACTCAAATAAGTTGGTAGCAAAAACAGAAAAAGTCGTTATGTGGCTACCAAGATTTAACAATATCCATTCATTTCAATCCATAAAAATCAACCAAGTGAAATCCAAATTAAACACTACTACTCAACTCCTCTTCTGAGTCCCCTATACCAAACCAAACAATACCAACCTTAACTAACAACATATAGAAATTCAGTTGCATACCAACATGTTTTCAATTATCCGAATTTGGTAAAAAGTTCTTCAAGTGATGCTCCGAGAGGAATACAGTTTAAAGGTCTTGCACGCTCAAACCTGCATCACACATCATACAGAGATAGTAAGCATCGTTATTCATGGTTGAAAGAAGTGTGTTAGGTTATGGTTGGCACACAGATTGGAAGGCACTAACTGGACAGACGAGTGCGGTAGACATGGCTAAGATTTTAGTGTTTTAATTTGACTAATAAGGGTAGTTTAGTAATTTACCAATATAGTCTCATTGATTTTTTGTTCTATCTATTTGGTAGGACAGGACAGAAAGAATGCCTCTGTGTCCTGCTCAAGTCCTGTTAGACACCAAACATGGGACCACAAGCTTTTGTGTTGTATTATTGTTTATAGGTTTGTGGACATGGGTATTAAGAACTCTTTATCATAACATAATCTTGAATCTTAAAAAGATGAAAGTGGCCAAATGGGACTCCGTCCAGTAATAGTGTTCTATGAAAGTTTGAGGATTTATTTTTTAAGTATATAATATTTATATACGGCAAATACTCAACCACACTCCTCACCTTTGGTGAGATTTGAACATTAAATCTCGTGGAAGATAACACTCTACTGGTAACCCGGATCACTATTGGGCCAATCGTCCTTTGGTAACATTTAGCTTTGTGGACTTTGAAGAAATGAATATAGGTCCACAAGAAAAAAGTTAAAGCATGTAGAGTCTTAGATTTGACTTCATCTAGATGAAATTACTTGTAACCTTGACATATCTCAACCTATCCCCACTTCCTTGACAACACTGCCCCCAAGCAAGAGAGAAGAATCTTTCAGCCCATCTTTCAACTATCACCACCATAACTAAAAAAAACTAATCAATTCTGGATGTGTGTGTGTGTGTGTGTGTATATATATATATATATATATATCTGTATTTGGAACTTGGAACTTTTAAGTCATTTGCTCCTTAGACTAGCAAAAATTAAAGGTGACCATGCACCTAGATGTGTCCAAATTGGCTAACCCATGTTGGATCAGTGACATCCACATGCTAACAGATGTGTAATTTCATAAACATATATTCTACAGTGGAAATGAGAAAAAAGATCAATTCTATGAAATATTACTCAAACATAAAAGTTGGGAAAAGCTAAACAGATAATTCATTCTAGAAACTTGACACTTATTAAGTGGGTCGTAACCCTTGGTCAGTCCCAGGCCACTCACTGGGCTATTCAGATCAAGTGGTTGAACTTCAAGTAGAATTTTAATTTGGGCGTTTTCAAGTGACAGCCTCAATGTTGTGTTGCTGGTTGGTTCAAAATTTTAAACATTTGATTAAAAAACACAAGAGAAGCATACAAACCTGGAGGAAGAGACTGCTTCAACTTATCGGCCTTATCTTTGTCAAAAACACACAAAGTATAGAGGTACTTTGAGCAGCGAACCTTGAACTTCACCACATCCTTGCTTCTTTTGATCTTCACAGATCTTGCATCCTTCCTTCTTGCCGTAAGAAGAAAATCCTTAATCTCATGAATTTGCTTCGGCTGAGTAAGAACAAAAGAAACTAAAAGTCAAGCATCAATATTGACACACACTACATTACAAAAAAAAGTAACATAGCCTGAACAACCAACTGTCAGACCAAACTATATTTGCAAAATCAACATAAAAGTGCTACAAGAACAATTAAGGCTCTAACAGAAAGACATCGACCAGAGGTTCAATAAATTCTGATACCCGTATGAAGTACAATGATCAAACTATATTTGCAAAACCAACATAAAAGTGCTAGCTTATAAAGTTAGAAATGCAATACATATCTACACGCCACCATTGATAATAAAATGGGTCAACATGAGCAAGTTCAAAAGCAACATTCTATTGCGAGTCCATGAGTCTGAGAAATCTTAACAAAAACCTTACCTAGAAGAAAACCACATAAGTAAAACTTTGCATTTTCTCTACCTAATACAAAATCAGCTCAAGAACAGACCAAAAAGACAGTCTGTCAAGAAGCTATGTTGTTTTAAAAATGATCTAAACATGATATTAAGTAGTCCTGATGCTAGTAACCATAACTGCATAGATGCTACAGTTGTGCTTAAACAAGAGAAAGTGGGGAGAATCACACTCCTACTGCCACACAAATTTCAAAACCAGCATTGGTTCTTAGACTCTCCAAATTACAACAAAGCATGTGCTTTCACACACAGTATCAGAAATAAATCGTTTAAATGTTAACAATACCAATACAGATTCCCTCGAAACAAACAGTAGAGTATATGGTTAGAAATATATACTCAATGTGATAAATAAAAATTTAAATCAATAAATTTCAGTCAACTATTCAGCATGCACCAATAGGAAAACGGGAAACAACTTAAATCTTAGTTTGGTACATTTCCCATTAGGCATAATATATCACAGAAACAATCAATCATTATAATCCCAAGGAAGAAAGAAGGCACGAGATTAAAACTAGACAAAGAAACAAGCAACGGGGGCCTAGAAAAGAAGGAAAGCGTTTACTGGAACAGTTGGTGCAAAATTTATAGCTCAAAGTCCATGTACTGGAGTAATACAACCCTAATTTCAAACCAACTACTGGGTCCATCGGCGTTTACAGATTCCAATTCAAAAATATTCTTATCAAAGCAATTCATCACTGATTGGATAGAAACAGGGAGCGGAAGCCTGGTAACTCTAGCATCATTCTAGTGCATTCTAGCAGCTACCATAATAGCCATAAAACATTCGAAACCATCAACTCTTATACTAAAAAATTCGAAAAACATTCAGATAAAACCGTAAAGAAAATGCTATCAACCATAAATTCTAGCTTACAACTGGAGAACTGTAATCAAATACGAGAGAGATGGAGAGATTGAGAGAGAATACCATTTTCAAGGTTGAAAACTAACGGCAGCCGAAGGGAGGACGATAAACCCTAGTTTGAAACAAATAGTCAAATATAAAGCTCGATATAGAGTCGAGTCGACGGAAAACATGGGCCTATATATGCATGTATATTGGGCCTTCTAGACCTGCTTTAATGGGCTTTCAATAATTCATATGCCCTAGTTTCATAATACTAGTGGCGTAACCGTGCAATGCAGCGCGGGTGACTCATAATTTTGAAATATTAGTTTAGCTTTGAATCATGAGTTTATATAGTTATTTTACAAGTCAGCTAATATATAAAGTTGAAATTCCCGGCCCCAGCCCCGATTTTTAGTAATAGCCTTTGGCCCTGGTCTCCGACGGATACGGGGACTAATATCATGTTCCCGGTCAAACCCCATGAAAAATATTCATTACTTTGAGTGTATCGGGGATCCTCGGTCCCGGCCTCGCCCCCGGTTTAAGTCTATCGGGGATTCCCAACTCTGGGACATGTTTTAGCGGGGAATTACCATCCCCGTTCGGGTCGGGTGAGTCAGGTTCCCCACCGGGTCGGGAAAAATCACCATCCTTAGTCCCGCCTCATTACTGCTGCTATCACCATTGGTGTCACCAACATCTACACCACGTTTGGTAAGACAATGATTGGTACTACTTTGGAAAGCAGACATTAGGAGTAGCTGGTTGGAAAGATGCAGCAACTGGGCAACAAGGTTATTGAGTTTGTCCTTGGGAGAGTCTAGCCTCTTGAATAACTACTTGTATATATCTATTTCTTGTTAATCAAGCATCTGACTAATGTTTCTTCTATATTGTTATTTTAATTGTTTAGTAAATATGGTTCTTAACAAAACTGTGTGCCATTTATGTGAGTTATTAACTTATTATTAAGTTTACATGTGTATGGATAATGCTTGCAGGCGATAAGTGTGGTGGCATGTTGCATTAATATGTTGTGGAATTGTTATAAACGTAGTCTCACTGGATTATTTAGCTGCCTAACGTTGTGCATCACTTGAACATGAGTGACATGGGTTGATAAAGGGAAAGGGCGGGCCTAGTAAAGTTTAACCACTCTTGGCTATACATTTCATATGTTATTTGAGACCCTGTGTTGTACTATAAGCGTAATATTTTGGTTGTTGGGTCGATGTTTGTACTATTTTGGTATCGTAAGCAAGTATAACTGAAGTTATATGCCCTAAGATAATTAGGCATGGAAATGGGGCGGGGACCTCAATCCCCATCCCCGTCCATGATTACTTATCTATATCTCCATCCCCATCCCCGTCGGGGAATATAGTCACATCCTCATCCCCGTCGGGGAATATAATCACATCTCTATCCCCAACGGGGAAACGGATATTTTTTCCCCCATTTATATAAGTTATTTTAAATTAAATATATGAGAGATCATACATGTTTGAATCTCAAACATTTTCAATAAACCTAAAACCAAAATGAATTTAACTTAATACAAAAAAAACACAACATTATATAAGAGCTAATAACCTAAAACCAAAAAAAAAATCAATTAAATCCAAAAAGACTTAAACTCACATGTACCCAAAGATATTGAGTAATATACAAAACTTATCGAGTAATTGCATTTTCACTTGACATCCAAAATATTACACATTAACATCCAAAAAATAACAATTTTAGATTATAAACCTAGTTAGGAAATATGAAATTATGAACTACCGCTTTAATTGAAATAAGTAATATATATATATATATATATATATATATAACGGGTAGGGGGCGGGTTGGGGAGTACCATACCCGTCCCCATCCCCATCTCCGGTTTGAGACAAACGGGGATCCCCGTCCCAGATTTAGCGGGGAATCCACGTCCCCGACCGGGACGGGTGGACCGGGTTCCCCAACGGATCAGGGGCCATTTCCATGCCTAAAGATAATTGTCTTCCATTTGGGAGCTTGGTAAGTTGTAACGTTCCTTGAGGCAGGTTTTGGGATGTTGCACACTACATGTATGAACATCTGTGTAAAATAGTTTGTATCATGTGTTCATATTCATGATTGTTTCACACTGTGAAACCTACAAACCAAACACATAATCAATGTCCATGTTTCATCATGTGAAACGAATAATATCTTCATGATGTTTACGTTTTATAGTGTGAAATTAACATAATATATTAATCACACTGTGAATAACATAATATCTTCATGTTAAAACAAATTATTGTTTGTATTTTGCAAATCATTCGTAATTTACGTTATGATAGAATAAGTCAACGTGAGATGATGTTCATACATCTATATTTCTATCGTGTGAAACACCATCTCTTTCAACAACCAATTGAAAATATTTGAGCATTACGATAAACACGAAAAATATTATTCAGATCACAAACAAATCTCGTAACAACTCGTATTATAACATCGTTATGGGGTTGTATATCCCAAATACGGGATCTGAATTGTAGTGAGTTCAACTACAGCCCAATAACAATCATCCATGACAAGATAAAAACACGAGGACTTTAACCGAACTTTTTTCATCATATTGGATCTCTTAATATTTGTTATGTTTGACAAATTGTTAAGTCGTTCAATTTATTAAACTAGAAGGGTACTTGCACAATGCAGCGAGAGATACATCTCGATTTTAGTGTTTTTTTTTTTTTTTTGTCTCGATCGATGTTATAATACGGGTTTATGTGGTTGTGAAAAAGCGATAATGTTTTTATGTTTGAATAAAATATAAACATGAAGATATCGTTTTTATTTTTGAATAAAGTATAAATATAAAGATATCGTACAAAATTGAAAAAAATAATAATGATTTTTTATAAATATAATAATTAAGTATTTGTTATAACTCAATGATTATCCTAATTATATTTTAGTTTTTTATATATTTAAAATGAAATGTTTATTCTTTATTTGATTATGTTTATCTATAATTAATTACACGAATTCAAACATGAAGCTTTAATAAGCTGTACGTGCGCATAATTTACTTGTAACATTGCTTGCATTTTAAGTAATATTCATCAATAAACAATACTTAATGCATAAAAAATGGTTTTTAAGAATTTTTATCAAATACTTTATAATATAGTATAGATTATGGTCCGTATGCACTACAACAAGACAAACATTTGATTTTTTTTAAAGTAAATTGCATTACCTTGTTTTTTAAATCTAAAACATACAAGAAATTTTGGAGTTAAACAACTTATACAAGAATAACATTTTATTATCTTTTATTTGATATCCATTAGAAGAGTATTCGTGCAATGCATCGAGACACATCTTGATTCTAATGTTTAATTTTATTATTTATCTATGTTGATATAATACAGTTTTATGTGGTTTTTTGAAAGCGTTAATGTTTTTATTTTAAATAAAATATCATAAAAAATTAAAAAAATATATATCGATATTAGTATCAAATTAACTATTTAAAAGTTTTTGTTTTGTGTAATTTTTTATTATAAATTAAGTTAACGTGACGAAGTAACTTAATTTTAATTTAATGCTATAATAATTTATGTTAGAACTCAAAAAATTTCCTAATTATATTTTAGATTTTTTTATATTTAAAATAAAATGTTTATCCTGTATTTGATTATATTTATATGCAGTTAGTTACGCGAATTTAAAATATAGCTTTAATAAATTGTACTTACGCACAATTTACTTATAATCTTGAATTTTAAGTTACATGCATCAATAAACAGTACTTCATGCATAAAAAAAAATGGTTTTTAAGAGTTTTTGTCAAATACTTTATAATGTAATATATATATTATTATTCAGTTTTTACCAGGTTTTCAAAATTCATATTTATTACTCTTGCATAAAATGATTGAACCTTAACAATAAAAGTTTGTGTGATGATTAGTTTGAAGGTTTGGTAATTTCCTATTAATGTAAGAATTATGTGAATGTATAACGAGAGATGGAAATCAAATAAAGATGATAAACGTTTTTTTTTATTTTATATAATTTGTATGAATTCAATTTTATTGTATTTTCATATATTCTAATACTAGTTGTGTACCCGCGCAATGCGGCGGGATATCAAGTTTTATTGTGAATCGAGAAACAAACGACTCAATATTCGGTATATCTCACTCAAAATCAGGGTCTAAATGGATAAGATATACACATGTATTCATGTCCCTAAGGTGTTAAAGTGGCTATACACTTGCCTGATAAGCTCTTATCGGTAAGATTCAACACAACTTACTTTATCGAGTAAGATCATAGTCCATCAAAATGGTATCATATGAAACAATTTACCCGATAAGCGTTTATCGAGTAAAAGTCTTCACTTTCACTTACCAAGTAAGACTCTTCATCCTTATCACTGCTCTTACTGGGAAAGATTCTTGACACTTGCAACGTTCATCTAATAAGGTAAATAACCTGGTAAGTTACATGGACGATAAACGGCCCTTTTTTGTCGTTATTATCGAACCACAAAATAGATTTTATCCCTTTCTATCTTAAGCCAACCACGAACGAGACAAATAATATAATTTTTCTGCCTAAAAATTGATCAGCCAAAAATAGCAATGAACTTTTAAGATTGATAAAAACAAAAACCTTAAA